TGCATACACACATACAAACATACATACATGCATACATACATGCATACATGCATACATACACATACACACACATACACATACACATACACATACACATACACATACACATACACATACGCATACACATACACATACATCCATTCATTCATACATACATACATGCATGCATGCATGCATGCATACATACATACATACATGTATGAAACACCACATAAGCACATAGTTTTGTGAATGGGTACAGGTCTCTACTTTTTATATGTATATATATATATATATATACACACTGAAACCATGGGCGCCACGCGCGCCTGGGGTTCTGGCCGACTGCGCAGTCGTTGTCAGTGGACCTACGCCACTCCTCCACGGTCCCCGAGATACCAGGGGAGAGGTGCCCCGGGCAAGGGCCCCTCGCGGTCGCGGAGCCGTGCGAGATCGACGGCGACGCGCCGCAAAGCTCCGGACGCTGCAGAAACTACGCAAGCCGCCTGCCTGCCACGGTGGCCAAGCAGGGCCCTGCGGGCTCCGGGCCGCCGCCGCCGCCGCCGCGGCCGCCGCCCCCGCGGCCGCCGCCGCTGCAGCCGCCGCCGCCGCCGCCGTCGTGATCATCGTCGCGGTCGTCGTGGAGGTCGTTGGGGTGGTGGTCGTCGTCTGTGGGCGCGAAGGGACGACTGCACGGTCTGGGGCGTCTTGGGCTTTTCCGTGGCCTCTGGGAGCCTCCGGAACTCCCCAGACGTGCAACGTCCTGATTTGTTAGGTTCTGGGCACCTGGAAGCCCTGACCTTTTCTCCAGGAGCGTTTTTTCGTCCTGAGTCGTTTTCTTACGCTCCCGAGGGCTGGCGAGGGCCCCCAGAGGCCGAAATTAGCCAAAACCCTCCCGTCCTGTATATATATATATATATATATATATATGTCATAGACAAATGATGACAATACAACTAATGATCATATCAAAAACTATTCCAATTTTTAACGACAAAAACGAAGCGAGCATGTTTGAGTCTGGAGATCTGTGGAGGAGGTCGGCCTTCGTCGATCGATCGATCGTCGTCGGTGTGGTCGTCGTCTGGCCTCTGGACGCCGCCGCGGTCGTCGTGGTTTTGTGGTCGTGGTCGTCGTGGTCGCCGCCAGCGTCGTCGCAGGCGTCTGCGACCGAGGAGGGCGAATGACCCAGACATGATCGCGTCGTGAAAAAATCAGGACGGGAGGTTTTTGGCCGATTTCGGCCTCGGGGGGCCCTCGCCGGGCCTCGGGAGCGTCAAAAAAACGACTCGGGGTGAAAAACCAGTCCCAATTAACCGGTCCGAAGGAAACGGGTCCCAGGGACCCCGTTTTGGAAAAACTCAGGACGTCGCATGTCTGGGGCCCCAGACACGCGACGTCCTGATTTCTCAAGGACGGGGTCTCTGGAAGTTCCGACCCCTTCCCCAGGACCAGCTTTGTCCTGAGCGGTTTTTGACGCTTCCGAGGCCTGGCGAGGGCCCCCAGAGGTAGAAAATTAACAAAAACCTCCCGTCCTGATCTTTCTGGTACGACGCGATAATGTCTGGGGAGGGAGCCTGGATCGAGGATCGAGGTCCTTGAACTCTCTTGGGCCTTCGTGGGCTCAGGTCGGGCATGTCCTCCTACAGGGGGATCTTGGACGAAAAATACAGCATTGCCAAAACATACCCCAAAATGGCCAAACATAGTCCAAACATCGTCCCCATGTTTCTCTTTGACTATTTTCAATACTATTCCTATGGGGGGGCAGGCCAGGCCCGACTTGATCGTGGGCCCCGCAGGGTCGCTGTCGTCGCGCGCGGTGGCCCAGGGCCTGGGGCTCCGTCCAGCGCTCCTCCAGCGTGCGGGTCCCGGCCGCCGCCGCCGCCGCTGCATCCGCGGCCGGCGTCGTCGTCGTCGTCGGCGCTGCTCGCTTTTTGTCTGTTGTTTTTTTTGTTGCTTTTCCTTCCTTTGTTGTTGTTGTTCATTTTGTTTGTTGTTGCTTTGTTGTTGCTCTTTTTTGTGCCTTCTTTTTTTGGTGCTCGTTTTTGTTGTTGCTCTTTTGTATTGTTTCCCGGCGGAGCCGGGTGAAATTCCGTGCCCGCCGGCTGACTGATGACTGACTGACTGAACGTCAGGGGACAGCTCGGGAGACACATTTCAAACCGCCCGCGGGAGCGCAACCCGGCGGCGCAACCGCAACCGCGACCGGGCGACACATTTCAAAGCGCCCGCGGGAGCGCGCAACCGCAACCGCAACCGCAACCGGGCGACACATTTCAAAGCGCCCGCGGGCGCGCAACCGCAACCGCAACCGGGCGACACATTTCAAAGCGCCCGCGGGAGCGCGCAACCGCAACTGCAACCGCAACCGGGCGACACATTTCAAAGCGCCCGGGGCGCAACCGCAACCGCAACCGCAACCGGGCGACACATTTCAAAGCGCCCGCGGGAGCGCAACCGCAACCGCAACCGGGGCGACACATTTCAAAGCGCCCGCGGGCGCGCAACCGCAACCGCAACCGGGCGACACATTTCAAAGCGCCCGCGGGCGCGCAACCGCAACGGCAACCGGGCGACACATTTCAAAGCGCCCGCGGGAGCGCGCAACCGCAACAGGGCGGAAGAGTTCCGAGACCGCGGGAGCGCGCAACCGCAACCGCAACCGCAACCGGGCGACACATTTCAAAGCGCCCGCGGGCGCGCAACCGCAACCCAGCAACCGCAACTGGGCGACACATTTCAAAACGCCCGCGGGAAGCGCGCAACCGCAACCGCAACCGCAACCGGGCGACACATTTCAAAGCGCCCACGGGCGCGCAAACGCAACCCAACAACCGCAACCGGGCGACACATTTCAAAAGCGCCCGCGGGAGCGCGCAACCGCAACCGCAACCGCAACCGGGCGACACATTTCAAAGCGCCCGCGGGCGCGCAACCGCAACCGCAACGGCGACAATTTCAAAGCGCCCGCGGAAGCGCGCACCGCAACCGCAACCGGGACGACACATTTCAAAGCGCGGGGCGCGCAACCGCAACCGCAACCAGGCGACGCATTCAAAGCGCCCGGGGAGCGCGCAACCGCAACCGCAACGGGCGCACCCCCCAACCGCAACCGCAACAGGCGACACTTTCAAAGCGCCCGCGGGAGCGCGCAACCGCAACCGCAACCGCACCGGGCGACACATTTCAAAGCGCCCGCGGGCGCGCAACCGCAACAACCGCAACCGCAACGGCGACACATTTCAAAGCGCCCGCGGGAGCGCGCAACCGCAACCGCAACCGCAACCGGGCGACACATTTCAAAGCGCCCGCGGGCGCGCAACCGCAACCGCAACCGGCGACACATTTCAAAGCGCCCGCGGGAGCGCGCAACCGCAACCGCAACCGCAACCGGGCGACACATTTCAAAGCGCCCGCGGGAGCGCGCAACCGCAACCGCAACCGCAACCGGGCGACACATTTCAAAGCCCCCGGCGTGCGCAATCGCAACCGCAACCGGGCGACACATTTCAAAGCGCCAGCGGGAGCGCGCAACCGCAACCGCAACCGCAACCGCAATTTTCAAAGCGCCGCGGGAGCGAAGCGCGCAACCGCAACCGGGAACGACCGCAACCGCAACCGGCGACGCATTAAAAAGCCCGCGCGGCCGCGCAACCGCAACCGCAACCGGGCGACACATTACAAAGCGCCCGCGGGCGCGCAACCGCAACCGCAACCGGGCGACACATTTCAAAGCGCCCGCGGGGGCGCGCAACCGCAACCGGAACCGCAACCGGGCGACGCATTTCAAAACGCCTGCGGGCGCGCAACCGCAACCCAACAACCGCATCCAGGCGACGCATTTCAAAGCGCCCGCGGGAGCGCGCAACCGCAACCGCAACCGCAACCGGGCGACACATTTCAAAGCGCGCAGACGCGCAACCGCAACCCAACCGGGCGACACATTTCAAAGCGCCCGCGGGAACGCGCAACCGCAACCGCAACCGCAACCGGGCGACACATTTCAAAGCGCCCGCGGGAGCGCAACCGCAACCGCAACCGCAACCGCAACATGGACAACCAAGCGCCCGCGGTCGCGCAACCGCCACCGCAAACTGGGCGACACATTCAAAGCGCCCGCGGGCGCAACCGCAACCGCGAACCGGGCGACACATTTCAAAGCGCCCGCGGGAGCGCAACCGCAACCGCAACCGCAACCGGGCGACACATTTCAAAGCGCCCGCGGGCGCGCAACCGCAACCGCAACCGGGCGACACATTTCAACGCGACACATTTCAAAACGCCCGCGGGAGCGCGCAACCGGCAACCGCGACGCATTTCAAAGCGCCCGCGGGAGCGCGCAACCGCAACCGCAACCGCAACCGGGCGACACATTTCAAAGCGCCCGCGGGCGCGCAACCGCAACCGCAACCGGGCGACACATTTCAAAGCGCCCGCGGGAGCGCGCAACCGCAACGCAACCGCAACCGGGCGACACATTTCAAAGCGCCCGCGGGCGCGCAACCGCAACCGCAACCGGGCGACGCATTTCAAAACGCCCGCGGGAGCGCGCAACCGCAACCGCAACCGCAACCGGCGACATATTTCAAAGCGCCCGCGGGAGCGCGCAACCGCAACCGCAACCGGGCGACACATTTCAAAGCGCCCGCGGGAGCGCGCAACCGCAACCGCAACCGGGCGACACAAGCGCGCGCAACCGCAACCGCAACCGCAACCGGGCGACACATTTCAAAGCGCCCGCGGGCGCGCAACCGCAACCGCAACCGGGCGACACATTTCAAAGCGCCCGCGGGAGCGCGCAACCGCAACCGCAACCGCAACCGGGCGACACATTTCAAAGCGCCCGCGGGCGCGCAACCGCAACCGCAACCGGGCGACACATTTCAAAGCGCCCAACCCTGCCCTGCCCTGCCCATTTCAAGTTCTCGGAGGCAATGCAAGCGCCCAGCCCTGCCGTTCGCCCGCGACTAGAGAGAGAATGGGCTGGCGTGTGGTTCTTGTTCGGCGACGAGAAGAGCATGTCTGGGCTGGCTTTGCTTGGAGCCGCCGATGCACGCGTGGACGCTGCACTGCCTTCTCGCACGCGGTACCCTTTCGATGTCTTTGCCGACAACCGGTTCAGAGGCACAGAGTGCAGTTTGAGAGGGTTCGCGAAGCTCGCGGTGGTCACCTTCAACGGCGACTTCGGGCAGTTGCCGCCTGTCAAGGACAGGCGTTGGTGGGACCCGCCGAAGACAAATGCTGCTCGCGCTTGCCGGAATGTCGTTCGGAAGCTGGCATACGCGTACTCCCTGCGCGGCAGCGTCCGTCAGCAGGGCGACGTTTGCTACGCAGACCTCCTGTGGCGTGTGCACGAAGGTGATGGCTCTTCCGGCGAGGCGGATTGGCGCCTCCTGAATGGCAGGTCCATGCCAGAACTGACATCTGAAAAGCGCAGCGCTTTCCAAGGAAGCGCCATGCGTTGCTACGCGGCAAAGAAGGACGCGACACAGGCCAACTTGGAAAAGATACGGCGTGGTTTCCTCTCTGGGGAGCTCCCGGCCATGGCGTGCGCCCCTGCTTGGCACAACGTGCGCGATGCAAAGAGCGTGGACTCCACGCGGGCGGGCGGCTTGGAGAAGGAACTCTGGTTGGCACTGGGCGCCCGGTATATGGTGACAACGAACTTATACACTGACGCTGGTGTCGTCAACGGGATCATTGGCGAACTCTGGGACCTCGTGGTTGATGAAGACCCTTGGCAGGGCGTCACTTCTGCCACAGTCGCTATCTTGAAGGTCAAGCGGTCCGACTTGCGCAGGCTGGATGACTTGTTGCGTCACTATTCACAAGAGCCAAGGCATGACCATCCATAGCGTTATCTTGGCGCCTGGGCCAACTGAGGCGCAATGCGGCATTCTCTTCACAGGCCTCAGCCGCGTCCCTGCGTTGAGCCGCTTGGCACTGTCTGCAGCGATCGACTACTCAAGGCTTCAGGCCGTGTACAAGTCTGACGCGATCCGGAAGCGCAAGGCTTGGGAGCGCTCTTGGGATGGGGCCGCCGACTCCTTCCGCAGCTTCTTCATCGCGTCGGCGCAGGAGGTCGGGTGCACCGAGGCCGTCGACGAGTGCGTCGCCGCGCAGCATGTGGCCCTGCACCACGGGTTCGGCGCGCACTTCTTGCGAGCCTAAGTACCGGGCGCCCGCGCTGTGGAGCGCCCGCGCAAAATACTTTCATCGTCGGAGCTGTCCGCCCTTCCCCGTCGACCCCTACGACACTGGCGAGGGGAGGAAGTGGGGGGAGGAGAAGGAGGAGGAGGGGAGGAGAGGGACGAGGGGGAGGAGGGGGAGGGGGGGGATGGGGAGGAGGGGGGAGGAGGAGGGAGGAGGGCTAGGGAGTGCGAGGACGAGGATGGCGAGGAGGAAGGAAGTGGAGGGGGAGGAGGAGGAGGATGGTGAGGAGGGGGAGGAGGACAATGAGGAGGAGGAGACGGATGCCGAGGAGGAGGAGGAGGAGGAGGAGGAGAAGGACAATGAGGGGGTGGAAATGGATGCCGAGGAGGAGGGGGACGACAACGACGACGACGACGACCAGGACGACGACGACGACGAGGGCGAGGAGGAAGACTGAACAACAGCAGGGGGATGGGCTGGGGGGGGGGCATGGGGCGGGGGACGACAAGGAGAAAAAGGAGGAGCCACTGGCGGAGGGCCCGACGACGAGCCCCCGCGTGGCCCGCGGTTCTCCGCCGGGACATTGCAGCGGGGAATCCCTATTCCACGCTGCTGCCTTTGATTTGGTTTTTGTTTGTTGCTCTTCCTTCCTCCCGCGACGCAGCATCGGACGTGACACCCTGGGCGAAGCTGGAGAATTCAGCGCGGCGCGGAAACCGGGAACGGGTTCGGACGTGGTTAGCGGTTCCGTGGTCTCTGGCACAGGGAGCTCGGAAGGCACCCTGAAATCCGTCGGGGGTCGTCGCCGTCCTCCTTCGTCGTCCTCGGCACCTCTTCTCCTCCCCCTTCGTGCTACTGCGGCGTGATTCGGAGCATCCGCTCGGAAGTTCACGGAGAATCTTCCGGGACATCGACGTCGATATTCCGGGAGAGGCTTCTGGAAACGTCGCTCGGATGCTCCTGGAGGAGCTCTGGCCACATGCTGCGATCCGTCTTGCGTGAGCCCCAGGCGGCATGGGAGGGCTCGAAGGAACCCCAAGGCAGCTCTGGGAGCACCCCAAGAGACACAACAACACAACAGAAAGTTGACACAAGCCCATCTCTACAAGGGAAGCTAAGAGTGAGATGCGAGTCGAATTTCAAAACTTCTTCGAGGCCTCTCAGGCCGTCCTCGGGACCTCGGGCGGGCTTCGGGGGGGGGTCCGAGAGGGCCGAAACATTAAGACCAATTTCGCACAAGCCTCGGCCTCGTCAGGGACGGTGTTGTGTTAAATGTGTGGCTGTCTGTGTGTGGCTGTGTTTGTGTGTGGCTGTGTGTGTGGCTGTGTGGCTGTGTGTGTGTGTGGCTGCGTGCGTGTGTGTGTGTGTGTGTGTGTGTGGCTGCGTGCGTGTGTGTGTGTGTGTGTGTGTGCGTGTGTGTGTGAGCGTGTGTGTGTGTGTGTGTGTGTGTGTGTGTGTGTGTGTGACAGGTTGGGCCCTCTTGGCGATCTCCCGAGACCCCCCAAGCTCCTGGAGAGCTCCCCAAGACGAGCTGCAAGGGCTCGGAGGCCCCGGGGGAGCTCCGGGAGCGCCCCAAGAGACTCAACACTGGAACACACAAACACACGCAAACACAAACACACACACACACACACCCACACAAACACAAAGACTAAGACAAACACAAGCACAAACACAAGCACAAACACAAGCACAAACAACATACAAACACAAACATAAGCACAAACACAAGCACAAACACAAACATAAGCACAAACACAACCACAACCACAACCACAACCATAAACACACACACACGTACACACACACATGACACATCGCCGTCCCTGACGAGGCTGCGGTTTGCGTCAAAATAATATTAAGTTTGGAGCCCTCATGGGGCTCTCCTACATTCCCCAGAGGCCACCAAGAGAGCTCTAGGGTACGGTCTGGGAGGGCCTGAAGTGACGCCAAGGGAGCTCCAAGAGCGGCCCAAGAGACCCAACCATGCAACACAGATTTAACACAACGCCGTCCTTGACGAGGAAACGATTCATGTTAAATGTGTAAAAAATATGGGGCCCTCTTGGGGCCGTCTCGGGGCTTTCATGGGGTGTCCTGGGGCCCTGTGGTACCGTTTTGGAACCCTCTTGGGGGCCTTTGGGGCCGTCTTGAAACGGTCTTGGGGGCCTTTTTTCGGACGTCGTGGAGCGCCGGAAGCTCGAAAATGCGAGAGACTCCAAAACATTAAATACCGATCGGGGAACCATTGGTTTTGCCTCTTGGGGCCCTACGGGAAGCGTTCGTCGAGTCCTCCTGGACCGTCTGGGGGCATCTTGGGACAGAAAGCTCGCATTGTCCTTTCGGGATTTTGCTCTTGGGCCCCTCTTGGGGCCCGGCCGGCTTGGGACCCTCTTGGCCCGTGTTGGGGCCCTCTTGGGAGCCTCTTGAGACGTCGTGGAGCGTCGGAAGCTCGCAAAGGCGCGCGAGAACCTCCAAAACATTGAACACCCGGAGGAACATCAATGTGTTTGACCTCTCGGGGCCCTCTGGGAGCGCTGGTCGATTTCTCTTGGGCCGTCTTGAAGCCATCTGGGGCCGTCCAGAAGCCGCGCGGGACATCTGATAGCCTTCTGGTATCTCTGTGACGCTACCTAAGCCGCCTGGGCAGCTCTCGGGCCGCTGGAGAGGGTGCCAGGGAAGCCCGGCGCCCCCATGGCGAGTCAGGGCAGCTGGGAGAAGGCCCCCGACCATGTACCCCAACAAAAAACACACACACAAACACACATACACACATGTGTGTATCTATATACACAAGACTGCACTGGCGCTTCGCGTCATGCGCTTTGTTCTGGACCCTCCCCAGCAAAACAATAAATCATCGCTTGCTTCAGAGGAGGGGACCTCGAAGCCTGGACGGGCGACGGGCTCATTATTCTGATATCCCTGGTGCCTGCTGACACCGCGTTCGCCCGATGCGCTTGCACGCTTGCAAGCAGGAGTGGGGAAGGAATGCTGCTTTTTCACGCGCGAATGTCCTTTGAGGAAGTAAGGAGCGTTCCCATGACACGCCGAAGAATTCGCAGTAGCTCCGAGCAAATCGATTTTCGGTCGCTTCCTGAATGCCTGGAGGGCCCCAGGCACTCAGGAAATCTTTGATCGTCAAACTGCGAATCTAGATCCATTGCCAGTCTCTCTCGATCGAGGAACTTCAACCTCGAGCCTCAAGCGTGGAAACAAAATCGTCGGGTGAGCTCGATGTGCTTCGAAGGAAAACGCTGTCTGGGCGTTTTTGGGGCTCTTTTGGGCCGTCCTGGAGCCCTCTTGGGCCGTCCTGGGGCCTCCCTGGGCCGTCTTGGGGAGCTGGGACCCTCCAGAGGTCTTCTGAAATCATCTAAGGCCCTCTTGGCGGCCTCACATTATCTTCTTGGGGGTCTTCCATGGCTTTCGTGGGTTTCTCTTGGGAACCTTCCGGGGGCATTTTGGGCTTCTTGTGGGCAGTCTCGGGGCTCCCTGGAGCAGTCTTGGGGCCCTCTTGGGACGTCTTCAAACCCTCTGGGGGGCCTCTTGGGCCGTCTTGGGGCGATATAGGGGGGGCCCATCGGGCCGTCTTGGACGCTGCGAAGCCCCAAACAGCGGTTAAACTTTACATTCTCCCGAGGGAATGGGACGAGGTTTGCTTCTTCGGGGCTCTCTTGACAGCCTTTTGGGGCGTCTTGGGGGCCTCTTGGGCCGCCTTCCGACCATCGAGGTTCCTCTTGGAGCGCTCTTGTGCTGTCTTGGGTCTCTCTTGCGCCTCTCCGATGACCCCTCTGATCGCCTTTTGAGTCTGCTCGCCGGCCCGCCAAGGGCGTCCAGGGGGCCGCTGAGACGTCCGAAAGGGCGTCTAGGGCGTCCCTTGGTTTAGGGTGGGAGGGGGGGTCTGGGTAATAGAAATATAAGAATAGAAATCTGCAGATATAGATGTGCTAGAACGACGCTCGCGCTTCGTGCGCGCTTAGGTTCTAGCCCAGCCCATGGCGCTGTGATGACGCGAAAGTCAGAGAATGTTGCCACCGTCTTGGGCCGGTTATGGAATGTCGCCGGGCTTCCTTGGAATGGCTTTTGGGCTGTTACGGCGCTGTTTTTTTGGGGGGTGCACGTGTCTTCGGCCCCAATGGCGCCGTCCAGGGTTTCAAGATCGTTGTTACGACGCGCAAGCCTTGGCTTGTGGATTCGTCGGGGAGATCGCTAAACAGCCTTGGGGTATTGATTGGCTTTCTAATGCAATGTCGTCGAGGCCGTAGTTTGCTGGTCTTTGGATGTCGTCACATTGTCTTGACCTGTCTGGCCGAGCACATGCGGGAGGGGCGAGGAATGACTGAGGACGGGACAACAAATCCTTGACATTGAATGCACGCGCTGACACGCCAGCTGGTAGAGCACCTGCAGAAAGAACGAATAATGCCAAACGACGCAAGGCAAACTGCCTTGAAAAATAATGCATGCGCTGTCACGCCCGTGGCGGAGCACTTGCAGGAAGATGGAGGAAAGACGGAGGGAGAAGGGAACGCATCTGATATTGAATATATGCGCTGTCGCGCCAGCTGGCGGAGCACGTGCATAAGGAACAAATTACGCCAGAGGATACAGGGCCGACTGCCTTGATGCATACTGCACGCGCTGTCACGCCCGTGGCGGAGCACTTGCAGGAAGATCGAGGAAAGACGGAGGAACAAGGAACACCTTTGATATTGAATGCATGCGCTGTCGCGCCAGCTGGCGGAGCACGTGCAGGAATTCCTCTTGGCCGCACCAGCAGGGCCTCAAATTCGATGACTTCGCCTTCTTTACTGAAGAGCTTTCGAGTCAACTCCAGCCGTCATTCTGCATTATTTGAGCCTCTTGACGGATGCATTCTGGAGATGCGGTTTGGGGTGTCTTTGGGAGCTGGTTTGGAACCCTCCTGGGTGCTCGCATGGTCATCTTGGGAATCTCGTGGGGCCGTTTTGGGGCATGTTTGGGGCCTTTGGGGCTATCTTCGGGCCAACTGAAGGTCGTGCCGAGGCCGTCTTGGGCCAATTTTGTGCCGTCTCGGAGCCGTCTTGGGCGGTCGGAAGCCAGGAAAAGCGAAATCACGGAAAACATCAAAAACCTCAAGAACATCAATGTGCTTGGTCCTATCAAGGCCTCTTTGGGGCGCGCTGGGGGCTCTCCTGGGTTGTCCTGCTATTGGTGCCCTGTTGGGCCGACGTCGGTTCATTTTGGTTCCCCATAAGACGGTCTCGATGGTTTTTTCCAAACCTCCTGCGTTGTGTACTGGTTTTGGAATGGCCACTGCCCACGCGTCTTCTGCTCCTCCCGCCCCCTCCTCTTCTCCTCGTTTCTCTTGCCTCTCACCTCGCTCTCTCCTGCGTGCCAGCTTGCCTCTTACCTGGCCGTCCCTGGGGGGCTGCGATCTGCAAAACTGTCACCACTTTCGAGGGCTGCCGGGGGTGCAGCGGAGCGACGTTTTACGCGGACCACCAAGAGACCTCGTCATCACCAGGGGGCTGCTGGGGGGTGCAACGGCGTGACGTCTTGCGCGGACTGCCGCGAGACCTCGCCATCCCTGGGGATCTGCGATCTGCGAAGCTGTCGCCACGTTCGAAGGTTGCTGGGGGGGTGCAGCGTAGTGACGTCTTACGCGGACCACCGAAAGACTTCGCCACCCTTGGGGGGGTTCGATCTGCGAAGCTGTCGCTAGTTTCGAAGGCTGCGGAAGGGTGCAGCGGGGTGACGATTTACGCGGACCACCAGGAGACCTCGCCATCCCTGGGGAAGCTGCGATCTGCGAAGCTGTCGGCACGTTCGATCGCTGCTGGGTGCGGGGGTGCAGCGGCGTGACGTTTTACGTGGGCCACCAGGAGACGTCACTATCCCTGGGGGGCTGCGATCTGCGAACCTGTTGCCACTTTCGAACGAAGTTTGGGGGATCAGCGGGGTAGCGTCTTACGCGGACCACCAAAAGACCTCGCCATCCCTGGGGGGGTGCGATCCGCGAAATTGCCACCATTTTCGAAGGCTGCTGGGGGATGCAGCGAAGTAGCGTCTTGGGACCACCAAACGACCTCGCCATCCCTGGGGGGGGGGGGCTGGGATCTGCGAAGCTGTCGCCACGTTCGAATGCTGCTGGGGGGTGCAGCGGGGCGACGTTTACGCGGACCACCAGCAGACGTTGCCACCCCTGGGGGGCTGAAATCTGCGAATCTGTCGCTAGTTTCGAGGGTTGCTGGGGGGTGCAGCGGGGTAGCGTCTTACGCGGACCACCAGGAGACCTCGCCATCTTGGAGGGCTGCGATCTGCGAAACTGAACTGCCGCCGCTTTCGAGGTCTGTTTTTTTGCGGGGCGCAGTGGAACGGCAACATACGCGGACCACACAGAGACCTCGCCATCCCTGGGGGCCTGCGATCTGCGAAACTGTGTCGCCACCCTCGGGGGCTGCTGGGGGGTGCAACGGAATGATCTTTTTTCCGCGGCCCAACAAAAACACGCCGTCCCTGGGGGGCTGCGGTCTGTGAATCTGTGCCCCCGCCCTCGAGTGCTGCTGGGGGGTGCAGCGTAGTGGCGTCTTACGCGGGCCACCAAAACACCTCGCCATCCCCGGGGACCTGTGATCCGCGTTAGTGTCGCAACTTTCGAAAGCTGCTGGGGGATGCAGCGAAGTAGTGCCTTACGCGGACCACCAGGAGACCTCGTCATCCCTGGGGGGGATGCGATCTGCGAAGTTTTCGCCACTTTCGGCGACTGTTGGGGGGTGTAGCGCAGCGACGTCTTACGCGGACCACCAAGAGACCTCGCCATCCCTGGGGGCCCGTGATCCGCGATAGTGTCGCCACATTCGGATGCTGCTGAGGAAGTGCAGCGGAGTAGAGCCTTTCGCGGACTACTAAGAATTCTCGCCATCCCTCAAGGGCTGTGATTTGCGAAACTGTCGTATCGTCCGGGGGATGTTGGGGGATGCGGCGGGGTAGCGTCACACGCGGACCGCCAGGAGATCTCGCCATCCCTGGGGGGCTGCGATCTGCAAAACCGTCACCAAGTTCGATGGCTGCTGGGTGGTGCAGCGGAGAAACGTCTTACGCGGACCACCAGGAGACCTCGCCTCTCCTGGGGTCCAGCGGAGTGACGCCTTTTTCTGTTACCTGGGAGTTGTTTTGAGTTCCTGGGGTCGTCAGGAAGGAACAGAGAACTGGCGGGGTAGCTAGGCCTCGCTCGCTTCTTGCACTGACGATCAGCACGTTTAACCGAGCGCGGGCGAGAATAAAGCCTACCCCCCCTAAGCCCCCTCTTTGTTTATTATCCCCGTCCAACAGGATTAGATTGTGAAGATAGGCGCGGAGGCCGAACTTTATAATCCACGGGGGAAGTTGCGAATCAAAGTTGCTGTCATATCATGTTGACTAGCAGCAGCATCAAGAACGCTGAGCATGGCCATGGTGGTCTGACCACACCAGCGTCGGCAATCACGAGCGTGTGGCAGGGCTGTGGGATTCTCACTATCACCTGGGAAATATCTTATTATCCCCGCCAGAACCCCAAACACTATTATCCCCGGGGTACTATTATCGCCCGCGCACGGTTAATCATTTGTTCGAGCGCCCCCGCGACATAGCGCAGGCACCGCTGCATCTTTAGCGTACGACCGGCAAAAACAACACTCTTTGGTCTTCTCTGGTCACTTTCATCGTCGTCCCCTGCCCCCTGCCACCTCCCCTCTGCTGTTGCCGCGTTGACGGTTCGGCCCCCCACGCGTCTTTTTCCTACTCTTCGTTCCCGCCCCCATGTGCTCCTCAAGTTTGGGCCCTCGTTTCTCGTTGTTCTGTTGTTGTCCTGTAAATCGTGCCACGTGAGCGCAATCCTTGTAGCTTGCACAACATTTAACGGCGCCTGCACCGTGATTGTCCTGGCAAGTTTCCTCTTGTCACTTGATGCAACTGGGCTGGGTACGTCACAAGGTAATTGGGGGGTAAAGAAAGCGATGGTAAGCCGAAGGACGAGAAGAAGGGAGATGTGAGGAAAAGCAAACCAAAAAACTGAGAGGTGCCAGAAAGCACACATGGTGGAATCCAACAAAAACCTGAAACCCGGACCAAATTCGTAGCTGACCATGCATACAACGGAAAACGGGAGAGGCACATCGGGAGCACGCGAAGCGCATCAGAGCATATGTCAACAATCTGGTGAGGGATGGGGGGGAGGGGAGAGAGGGAGGAGGAGAGACAGGAAAGAAGGGAAGAGCAGTCCCGACCCCGCGAGGGGACGGACAAAGGATCCTAAGCAAAGCCTTAAGGACCCACCTGCAAAAACATGGGAGGGTGGGGAGGAGGAGGGGGAGGGCGGGAGGAGGAGGAGGAAGGGAGGAAGGAGAGGAGGAGCAAACGAATTCCTCCATCGTCGCCGCACGGCGCGCCGCAGCCATGGCAGGCCGGCGCCGACTCTGCAACGTGGGCGGGCGTGGCGACAGCCAGCCAAGAGCGACAACAGAGCATGCAGAGGGAGGGAGAGAGGAAGGAGGACGAGGAGGAGGAGGGAGAGAGGAAGAGGAGGAGAGAGGAAGAGGAGACAGGACAAGAGGAGACAGGACACGAGGAGGAGGAGACAGGACAAGAGGAGGTAGAGAGGAAGAGGAGGACGAGGAGGAGCAGCAGCAGCAGCTGCTGCAGCTCTGCTTGGGGACTGGCGCGCTGAAGCGCCTCCGTGAGCGCAGGCTCAATCTGCAAAACCATATTCTAAAAAGTTATGGACCGATGCCCGATGTTAAAGATGCCTACGGGACACAATGCTCAAGATGTAGAAAAGTGATGAATCGGTGTCCGAGAAAGAATGACCCGATGCCCGACAAGCCCCAGCGAGCACCTGTCGACATGGCGATGCTTCTTTTCGTTGCCTCATGCTTCTGAGGACCAGCATGACGCTCCTCCGTGGCGATTTCTGGACAACAGGTTCAGAGACGGCGCAGGCGGCGCCGACTACTGCATACGTGGCGCAGTCACCCCAGCTGCCGGCATCACCGGCCCCTCGAGCGTCAGGCCGGGCGGGCCCCAGCCAGCCCCAAACGGGAAGGCCTGCCCCGTGCGGTAGGCGCCCCGGCCGAGGGGCGCGAAGCCAGCGGCGCCTGAGTCGGCGGCGCTCGCATAGCCGGCGGGGTGCGCGGGGTTCGCAGGACCATCGTGCCGCCAACCCTCTTCGTAGCACCTCCCAGGGGCATGCCCGAGGCGGAGACTTATCCATATCCCCCGCCTGGGAACCGACGTCCTGGTGCCCCAGCGGGCGGTGGACATGGATGCATGTTGCCCCCTGGGGGCCCGAATATATCCATATCCACCGCCTGTGCAGGTCCGCGAAGATCGATCCCACAGGCGGTCGTTACAGTGCGGGCGCGGTCGCAAGAAACCCTCGCAAGAAACCCAACCCTGAAAAAAAAAAACCGCGCGCAAGGTGCACCCGAAGGGAAAACGGGAACACCCTGAATGCAGGAGCTCCTCTGACGACCGCGGGAAGGCGCTGCGCGGCGCGCGGAGCGAAGAAACACAGGGCAGCCTGACGAAAAACAAATAGTTTCTTGTTCGCGTCCCCACTGTATGGAGGAATCCCCGCCTCGGAACTGCACGGTTTCCCCCCGGGCCGTAGGCGACCCGAGGAGGAGGAGGAGGAGGAGGAGGAGGAGGAGGAGGAGGAAGAGGAAGAGGAGGAGGAGGAGGAGGAGGAGGAGGGAGGAGGAGGAGGAGGAGGAGAAGAGGAGGAAGAGGGGAAGGAGGAGGAGGACGAGGAGAAGGAGAGGAGGAGGAGGAGACACGAGGAGGGGGAGGAGGAGGAGGAGGAGGAGGAGGAGGAGAGGAGGAGGAGGAGGAGGAGGAGGAGAAGAAGGAGGAGGAGGAGGGAGGAGGAGGGGGGAGGAGGGGGGAGGAGGGAGGAGGAGGGAGGGAGGAGGGAGGAGGAGGAGGGGGAGGAGGAGGAGGAGGAGGAGGAGGAGGAGGAGGAGGAGGAGGAGGAGGAGGAGGAGGAGGAGGGAGGAGGAGGAGGAGGAGGAGGAGGAGGAGGACGACGAGTCGCCCAAGCCCTTCGGAGAAACCCTCCATCCACCCGGAGCCTGGACCCGCGACTGATCCCCGAGCGGTCGGCGGCCCGCTGGCCGCCGTGCCGAAGCCGAGGCTGCCCGCCTCGCCCACCGGGCGGCGGCCCGGCTCGGAGGCCTGGCCGCCGGGGGCGCGCGGCGGGGCCCGCGGCAGGGCCTGCGGGAGGGCCGCGAGCCCCGCGCCCCGCGTGCCGCCGGCCCTGGCGGCGTGCAGCGCCTCGGTGGCGCCCTGCGCGCGAGTGGACGGCAGCCAGGACTTCGAGCGGAGCGGCTTGCCCTCCAGGTCGTCCTGCCCAGACATGGCTCGCGTCGCAGCACAACAAACATCAGGAGGAGGGAGGCGCTTTGGCCCATTGCGGCCCGGGGGGGGCCCTCGCCGGGCCTCGGGGCCGTCCGAAAACGACTCGGGATGAGAAGCCGGTCCCCGGGGAAAGGGTCGGGACTTCCAGGGGCCCCGTATGGAAAAAATCAGGACTGCGCATGTCTGGGCTGTCCCAGAAGAGCCCAAATTCGAATCGATAACTCGGATCGGCGATCGAAACGAATCGAATCGGCATAAACCGGCAGCCGAGTCAGGAAAAGTCGAATCGGCGGAAATCGGCAGGCTTGTAGGCCGCCAGTAAGGAATCGGAGCCCAAATCGGGACCCAAAGTCGAAGCGAATCGGAATCGGAAGCCATCGAAGTCGAATCGAATCGAAGGAATCGAAACAAGCCCTGCTGTCCTCGTCGATGCAGGTGTTCTTCACGCGCATGACGTACACGCACAACGCCGCCGGGTCGTCCGTCCTCTGGCGCTGGAAGGCGCCGGCCGAGCTGGCGATGCCGAGGTCCTCGTCGCCCTCGTTCGGGCTACAGTGGAAGCCCGTGCCAAGAAACACCCTGCTCGCCTCCAGGGTGCCCTGGGAGTCCTGGCTTTCGCTGGCTCTTCTGTGGAAAGCGTGACGCACCCACGCCAAACATCGGTGGACGCCCTGGGGTCTCAGGGTTGGGTTTCTTGTGGACGGTTTCTTGTGGACTGGCCTCCACTGTACCGCTACCCGTGCCCTTCGTCTCGGCCAGCTCGAGCCTGTGCGGCTCCTGTTGCGGCTCCAGCGGGCCGCCGCCGCGGCACTCCGCCTCGAGCGTGCGCAGCTCGTGCGGGCTGTGGGCGTACATGCAGTCCTCCTGGGCGCACTTTCCCCCCGCAGCCACAGAAGGGCACATCTTCGTGAAGCGCAGGTCCGGGAGCGGGCGCAGCTCCGCCTCGCTGTGGGCGAACGTGCACCTGTGGCGCTTCCTGCAGCGCCCTCGTGTGAAGAAGAATTCGCAGTACCTTGTTTTCAGAAATTTGCTCCTCGCCCGCGCGGGCAGTTCGTCCAACGCCTCCTGGGCATCGGTGTCGCTGGTAGCCCCGCCGCTTCCGCTCACGGCGCAACCCGTGAGAGAGTCGACGAGCGCGAGTGCTGGCCTGCCATCGGCGTCGCTCATGTCCCCGGCCTCGCGGCAGTCGCTCATCGCTCGCGGGCGGGCCACCCCTGAAACGCAGCTTGAGCCACGGTATTGCGGGTATCATAGAATGTCTTGCAGGCCTCTTGGGCCGTCTGGAGGCCTCTCGGAGGCCCTGGGGACGGTGTATCAAAAAAAAGAGGGGCGAGATGGTAGCGAGGTGCCAGGCCCCCGGGCGAAGATCGAGGTCCGATGTTGTTTTGTCTTCGGGGGCTCTCGTCGTCGCCGCGGCTGGACGCACCTCGAAGCGACGTTATTTTATTCCGAAAAGATGCAGGACGAAGACGGGGAGGGAGATAAGAAAACAGACACATCAACAACAATTGGAGCAGTAATTGAGCTGCCATGAAGCCGTCTTTTCGGCGTCTCGGGAATCTCTTCGGCCCGTCTGGAGCTCACACAACCGTCCGCCGGACCGTCCGCACTCAGGACCCTTGGTGTTTGGAATTCGTTACGTGATGAAACACAGGCGCCAAACAAACATCTACACATTTAGCGTCTCCGGGCCTTCTTCGGTGTCCTCTTGGGGCCTTTTTGGGCCACGTCACGCCCTCTCGGGCCGTCCTGGGACCCATTTGGGGCGTTTTGGAGGGCCTTGGCTGTTGTCGGGGCCCTGTCGGGGCCCTCTTGGAGGGCTCTCGGGGCCCTCTTGGGGGTCTTGGAGCGCCCTTGGACCGTCTTGGGACTCTTAGGCGGTCATGGGGCCCTCTTTGGGAACCGCTTGGGCCGTCTTGGGCCGATTTCTGGGACCTCGTGAGCTGTCCCGTCGGAGGCATGAAAAAAACAGAACACGAAAAAACAGATGTTTCGCCTCCTGAGGGCCTCGTGGGACTCCTCTTGAGGCCCACTTGGCCGTCTTGAGGCCCTCTTGGGCTGTCTTGGGCTCTCTTGGAATGCTCTTGGGCCGTGCTGGAGCCCTCTTGGACGTCTCTTGGGCCCTCTGTTCGCCCCTCCTCCCCTCCTTTGACACGCTTTGGCGCTCCCCGACAGGTCCAAAACGGCCGCGTACAACATCAATGCTACCCTGGGCCCACGGGACCCCCTACCCATGCATCTCTCTCTCTCTCTCTCTCTCCCTCTGTCTCTCTCTCTCTCTCTCTCTCTCTCTCTCTCTCTCTATATATATACATAAACACACACCTGGGTCCTTGAAGTTTGGTATGCAAACAGAATGGCAAGAAATTCAAACCGACAACTCAGCGATAACTCCGTGTTGCCTTTCCGGCATCGCCGTTGATAATGTGTTTCGTTCCTTCCTCCATGTTTATGTTTCCTCATTCTCGGCCTACTCTTGCGTTGTCTCCCCATCCTCCTCCGCGCTTTTTGCGGACGCTCCTCCTTGGAGAGCCTTTGGGAGCCTCACGGAAGTTCGTCAGGCTTTCTTAAGGCCTGCTGGAAGCCTCCTGGGCGTCTTCTGGGGGCTTCTGGGGGAATCCTCGGGCTACCCCGCCTCCAACCGAGGTCTCCCTGAGCGACCAGGTCACGATTTGGAATGCTTCGGAGGGTGTCTTGGAACGGTCTTCGGCCGTCAAGGGGCTCTCTCAGGCCATCTTGGAACCCTGCTGTGGCGTCTTGGGGCTCTTTTGGATTGCCCGGAAGCCCTTTCGGATGGTTGTGGGGCTATTTTCTCGAGCCTCCCTGGCGGCTTTGGACGCCCAGAAGACCGCCGTCTTGGAGCGTCGGGAAGCAGAATAGAGGATAACGCCAAAATCCTCAACAAAAAACACCAACAGAAAATCAATGATGTTTGCCTCTTGGAGCCTTCTTGGGAGTGCTTTCTGAAGCCTCTTAGGACGTTTTGGAACGATCTTTGGGAGAATGACGGCTTCTTTGGGGCCGTCGTGGACCGTCTTGGGGCTCTCTGGGGTCGTTTCGGGAGCGCGCCCGAACGCCTGGAGCCCATTGGGTCGTCTTCGGGCTCTCGTGGGGTTCTCCCGGGTCGTCTGGAGGGTTGCCCGAGCGACAAGGGGTGGGCAGAATTCGTTAGGGTGTGGGGGGGTTCTAGGGTCTACGGCTTTTTTCAAATAGAAGTATGGTATGTATATATATATATATGTACATATATATATATATCTATAACTATATATTTATACACATTCTCCAAGCAATGCACTGTAAAGGTCCTCGCGGATGTTGAAGGGTTTGGCGAAAATGTCCCGCCGATTTGGTTGCTGGCTGGGTTCCTGGGTTCCCGGTTCTGGGTTCCTGGGTTCCTGGTTCCGGGCCGATTTTGGAGGGCGGCGAGGTTCCCGGGTTCCCGGGTTCCTGGTCGATCTTCTTATCGATCGGTCTCACCATCAATCTCATTACCCACTTCTCTATCGATCTCACCATCGATCTCACAAGCGATCTCACGATTGATCTCACAAGCGATCTCGCTAGAGATCGCATGAGCGATCTCGCGATCGATCTCACAGTCGATGTCATTGAATCGATTTCACTCTCGGTCTCACGATCGACCTTACAATCGTCCTCACTATCGATTCCACTATCGATCTCCTTATCGATCTCAAGATCCATACTATTAATTCTCAAATCATCCACTGATTGTGGTTTTCTCAGGTGTAAAATTTACCGGTTTATTTATACAAGGGCCTGGCCTAGGGGCTCGCCAGAACGAACTCTATTCGTCCAAGGAGCTGTGGCGACGCCTTCCTTCCGCTGACCCACGGTAGGTCAGAAGCCTTGGGTTGTAAAACTGAAAAGTTGCCGCGCGCGTTTCGTGGGCGAGCTTACTCGACGCCGTGCCTGGGTCATGGATCCGCGGCGACGGCGACGACGTCCGCAGCCAATTGCGGCTCAAGCTTGACGCGCACAGGACTTTAGAGTTCTCCTCCCCTGCACAGTTTCAACGCCTGATGTGTGCCCCAATTCTCAGAGCGCGCCTCGATGGTCGTCCAGCGCGGCACATGAGCGTCATTAAGATGAACAGCCGAAGTTCCTGGAGGCGCGCACGATGCATCAGAACCCGCTGTGTCGCGAGACCGTGAAAGGCGCATGGTGCAGGGGGTCGAGGACTGGAATTTTTAAGGGCTGCGCTACGCGGCACTTGGGGGAGTTCCGGGACCGGGTGAGCAACTTCCCGAGGGCTTTTTCACCGCACGTTCTGGAATGCTGAGCGTGGCGCGCGCACGAACAGGGCGCGACAGAGCGTGAGGCCTCTACAGAGCCCAGCATGCCGTGATCGAGCGGATGTACATGACCACAGGAATCATGTTCTCCGAGTGCGTGAGGCGCTTTCGGCTTGCGGCCGCGCACAAGGATGAACTGAAGAAAGTCGCGGCCGTCACTGATATCGTCAAGATGGCCGAGGAGGCTGTGTAAATGAGCTACCGTCTCATGAGTGGGCAGACCTCGCGCCTGCTGAGCGTTGGATACGATGACCTGCAGACGGCTGAGGCGCCGCACTTGAAGGAGGTCTCTGCGTTGAAACAGCTGGCAACAGAAATTTGCTGAATCCTTGAGCCGAATCAGAAGGCCATTGAGGATGCCATCGTTGGGCGCAACTGGGAGCTTTGGAAGCAGTTCCTGCCTGAGCCTGAGGCGGATGAGACAGCCACTGAGGCCGCTGAGAGCAGCATGGAGACGAATCGCGAACTCGCGGCGTGCGAGAGGCCGCTGCCACTGAGGACAACCACGCGCGAGACCGGGGCTCTGAAGCATGTTTTGACTTGTGTCGGCCCTGACGTGAAAGTGCACGTCGCGATCCGTGAGTGCGTGTCCACTCTGAGCGCTCCAGGGAGCAGCGTCTCTGAGGTATTTGAGAGATCTATTTTGAAGGTTCTCCAGAAAAGATTGGTCCGCGAGCCTTCTGAGGGTGAAGTGTTTGACCGGGGAGCTTGTGAGAGAGATCTTTTATGGAGCTTCTGGGAAAACCTTCTGTGGGGAAATCTTTTGTGGGAGATGCTTTACTCGTACTACTAAACATGACAATACTTCTTCGTAGCGTGAAAATAGTCATAGTAGTACTCGTCGACGATGTAGATGTAATGGTCGCCGTAATAGTGGTAGTCGTAATACTAGTACTAGTACTATTATAGTAGTAGTAGTAGTAGTAGTAGTAGTAAAAGTAGTAGTAGTAGTAGTAGTAGTAGTAGTAGTAGTCGTAGTCGTAGTCGTAGTAGTAGTAGTAGTCGTAGTAGTAGTAGTAGTCGTAGTAGTAGTAGTAGTAGTAGTAGTCGTAGTCGTAGTCGTAGTAGTAGTAGTAGTAGTAGTAGTAGTAGTAGTAGTAGTAGTAGTAGTAGTAGTAGTAGTAGTAGTAGTAGTAGTAGTAGTAAGTAGTAGTAGTAGTAGTAGTAGTAGTAGTAGTCGTAGTAGTAGTCGTAGTAGTAGTAGTAGTAGTAGTAGTAGTAGTAGTAGTAGTAGTAGTAGTAGTAGTAGTAGTAGTAGTAGTAGTAGTAGTGGTAGTAGTAGTAGTAGTTGTTGTTGTTGCGGTAGCAGTAGAAATAGGAAAAATAATAATTCAGAAAGTTGTCCTTGCAGTGAGAGCAATAGAGATAGTAGTAGTAGTAGTAGTAGTAGTAGTAGCAGCAGCAGCAGTAGTAATACTAGTAGTAGTAATAGTACTCGTAGTAGTAGTAGTAGTAGTAGCAGTAGTAGTAGTAGCAGTAGTAGTAGTAGTACGCTGTCGTAACACCAGTAGCTGTAAAAGGAGTAGGAGTAGTAGTAGTAGTCGTCGTCGTCGTAGTAGTAGTAATGCAAAGATTAGTAGCAGCAGCAGTACGTCCTAGAAGTGGTAAGGGTAATACGAGTAGCACTCGTAGTAGTATTAGTCGTAGTAGTAGTAGTCGTAGTAGTCATATGACTGGTAATAATATGAGTGATTGCAGTGGTACTAGTCAAAGTAGTAATCATAATAGTTGTAGTAGTAGAAGTAGAAGAAGAAGAAGTAGTCGTCGCCATGGTAGTAGTAGTCGCCGTAGCAGTTGCAGTAGAAGTAATACGAGTTGGAGTAGAACGTTGTCGCAGTACTACTACTACTACTACTACTA